ACATGGGACGTGCGCCCTGCCACTGAGCCACTGAGCCACCCTTACTGGTCATTGTTGACTTCAATGGGCTGCTTTAGCTATCCAGCAACTTTAATGTAAAACAATAATTTAACCACTTTTAATCTGTCCTTCTTTCATCATGTTTTTGTGATTCTTGGCTGATAGATTTGAGGACAGTCTGATAAGTCTCTGACAGTGGATCCAGATGTGCACACTTGGCGTCTGATAAGATAATCAGGAGTAAGGCATTAATTAGATCCCATCTCCACAGCAATAACAGGAGCAACTTGAGCTTTAATGAATGGAGATTTCAAATCTTCAGTTTTATCTCTTCGTCTTCCTTAAATATTTGAAACGTTTTATCTTCCATCATTTCTCATGCTGAGGCTTTTCCTCTTGTTCTTACTCCAGGTCTACAATGTGGGGATGTTGGGTTCTAGCACGTATCAACAGGGATCAAAGTATTGCTTTAGAAAAATGATAATCATTAGGTCTCAATTAAAACTCATGCAAGGAGCTGTGTCTTGCCCAATGACATTCCAACATGTGACTGCAGGAACTGGGTATCAAACCCCCAACTTTCCAGTTTAGAGAAGACCAACTCCACCAGTGCACCGGCCCTACCATGGCTAGACGCATCGTTACATCACGATACAAAACTTTGGAAAATTTGGAAAAACGTGTATAAAAATAAATATTTGTCATAATGTTTGAAATGTCAAACTAAAAATCCTTTCTTAACAATTCAAACAACCCTATGGATGGGGGATTAGGGTTAAGGTACTATGGAGGCTCCCTGACTTGTGTCTGTTCCAATAGAATACAATTTTACCTCAAATTTGGCACTACATTTGTTTTAATTGTCAACCCTCACCTCAATTAATACAAAAATTGGGTTAAATCTCTAAAAGCCATACTTAGAAATGTAAACTGACATTGTTTGAGATTAGAGCAGCGATCACAGACATTTGCCTTGCCTTGTTGCATTCAATGCAAGCACTAGAGACAAGTACTATTAATCTTGTTTTATGACTGATTTACAGTAATGACTTGGAGAAGGATTTGATACACTTCTGGCTCCCTCCTGCTTTAACAACAAGAGGTATGATTTGATACATGACTATCCCTAGGTTTGACATTCCTTAAACAATCTGTGTGTGGCTCCGCATTCGAGGACAATAATTCTGCAAAGGAGGTCATAAGACGTCTTTTTTCCAGAAAGGGTTGGTTATTTGTGCATTGTCTATAGCTTTCTGTTTGTATAGATCCCCAGGAGAGCCTGTTTCCTGTTTGTGTTTTCAGTGAGACACGAGGACGTCTTCATTGCGTGAAGCAACAGATCACAGGCCAGCAGCAGCCCAGCCTGAGATATGGAGTCGAATAACATCCCTAAAACCCAATACGCAAACTGGGACAAACAGTGTCTGGATCCTGTCCAGGTTTAGTTTTATTGTTCTTCCAAACACCAACGAGATAGAAAAAGTTAGCAGCCAAGCCTTTTACTCAGGAAGCCTCTGCCTGCTTTGTATCCAGGGAAAAGGCTAGATTAAATTTGCTTCTTTGTGTCTGTTGGTCTCAGAGCATGAAGATGAAAAGTCTCCATAAGATTGATAGCCAACCCTCAAGGCCCCCTTATGTTTAGAGCCAAACAACATGATGAGCAGGGTGGAACTCCAATGCAGACAATCGAGAACATCCTCCACCCAGTTGACAAGCCCCAGGCTTCATTTTAGTGATCCTGCAGTCCATTAGAAAGATAAGAACAGGGCAGGAGAGCATGCTGCCTGCTCAGCTAGGGACTCATCTTGATATACCTAGAGGCCTCACATTCACAGAGCCACAAACAGCTTGGCAAGAAGTGGTTCCATACCCAACAGTCAAAGCTCAAGGGCTGTTCCCAACGGTGTGCACAAACTTCAGGGTTTCTTTCCTCCAATAGAGCCAAAGGGAGTAGATAAATTAATGGCTCCTTTTGTGCAAAAAAGTTAGTGAAAACAACCATATAAAAACATTATTTTTTTTCTTTCTGAGCAGGACAAAACGCCAGAGCACATGTACCCACACTGTCCCTTTTCATTGGGAATGTACAAATGGTTCAGAGCCTTACCTTGAGATGGAAACAAAGGAAACAAAGGATCTATTTCAAAAAGCAAAGGTCGGGTTTTGTAATTGATATGAAAGGTTCAGATGCTGCTTACACTGTACGCTAGAACCACACTGTTGTTAGTGAGCATCACTTTGTGCATGTAGCTGTAATCTGCTCTTCTCTGATGAGGGGTTTTTAAAATATGGAATCAGATTGGCTCTATAGTTGGTGTACTCGCAAATACCCTATAACACTGTATAGGTATTAGTATATGGTTTGATATTCCTTTATTTTAGAAAGCACCAGCTAGACTTACATTTTAAACATTAGTACCTTCATTTGAATTACATCATCAAAACTTCCTACACTGTGTATCAGGTTACAGGCATCATTTGTGTCCTTTGGTTTAATCAGGTAGTGCTTCATTTTTATGATACATATACAGTTAGTATAAGTAGAAAGTAACTAATTTACTTTACAAAACTTCATGACACAGAATTGTAAGATTTATATGTTTGACATTGAACACCGCATTGAACACCAAGATAAAACAACGGACTTGTTGCTAAATTGCTCAATACTTATCCGAACAGGCCTATACTGATGTCCATCCACTGGAGTCCATCAGCAAATTCCCTTTTTCAATGCAAACAAAACTTGAAATGAAAAAATGGAAAATGTGCTAAATTGGACTTTTTTTCAATGCTGCCTCAATAAAAGTAATTGGATTATAGCCAATAAGTGTTGTATATTCTTATTGACAATCTTTGAATTTAAATAAATAGAGCTATATGAAAGTAATCCTGGAATGGCTCTTCGGGCAGAAATGTTTTGAACCATAATATCCACACCAAAAGTACCACTTAGATGGCACAGTTGGCTCCAGGCATTGTGTGCCCCTTTCTATCTAGAAAACAGGCAGCTTTATAAGGCAGTCAGAGGATATGTGACATGTGTCTCAAGCTTCTTCTATTCTAAATTCCGAGAAGCAGACCGACCATACAAAGCTCTATATTGGCTAACAAAAACAGGTCCATTGTTGAAACTGGACACATAAAGAATGTAATTTCAGGAAGTTTGGGATCACTTGATCATGGTTATTGTTGACTTCAATGGGCTGCCTGCTTTAATTTTAAACTTTACTCTCAAGAACACAGCAGTAGTGATGTGTAATCATATAAATATAGAGCATGTACACTTCTCAATACAATAAAACTAACTGTATTCAGCTGTGCAGCTCACATCATTGTGTGCCAGCGATATTTATTAAGAAAGACCTTAGGAAACAAAAAGTGTTCTCAGGCTTTAATTCAAATCACTTCATTCTGGAGAACATCCATTCCTCCCGTACTGATGCAGGCTGTGTTTGAACAACTGGATTTCATCAGCCAGTCTGCCAGAAACTTCAGACAAGGACCCTCACTTAATGTCAGCACAGCAGGTTCAGTTCTAATCCGCAGAGCAACTCACTCAACAAGTCACACATCCTCTTAAAAATATCCACGTTTTTGATTCTTCTTGTCAAACATGCATGACATAAAGAAGCTTCTTGTTTGGAGATTTTGAAGTAGAGTTTTGATTTATCCCATAAATGTGTGAGAGTCTGCAGATGATGAGAATTCCACCCTTGCCGGTTCTAAAACCTTGTTCTTCAGACTAGATGGAAGTGTTGAGAGTAATTCTGACAGGTTGGTGTTTGGAAAGCACAGAGGTTTGTTTAGGTAAAGTCTTTCCATCATGCTGGAGCTCATTAGACTCGTCTCTGTTTGTGGACTTTATCGTTAACTTCTACGGGACGACGATGACAGCCACGCTGGATTAGGATCATGTAGGCGATTTATGGGAATGCAGGTTGTATTTCCATTCAAACCGATCACAGGGGGAAAGTTAAGTTCCCCGATTCAAAATGAAATGTTTTTACTGTAAAAGAGCGTAATTCCCTACTATAAATGGGCCTGTTGAAAATTTGACAATCTGCAAGTCAGCTTTGCAAAATCCCCACCTGTGCAGAGCTGGAATGTTATTCGACAGAAAGAGCGAGTGTGATTTCCCATCAAAATATTTTCAAAGTAGGTAAGCCGTAAAATTGCGGTCGCTGGTGTTGAAAGCTTTGTCCCACAGTCTGCAGGTGGAATTTACATATATTAAGTCTGGGAAACAAGTGAGATTCATGGCCGAGTCTGACATAAAAACCCCATCCTCGCTCTCTTTGACTCTCTGCTTGCTCCATCTCTTTCCCCTTTTCTCTCTATCTCACAGACGACTCTGCTTGTTCCTGGCTGCTCATGTGTGGCAGCAGAGCTGGATGGAAAACATATTGCTCCATCAATCACGTCCCATTCTTCTCAGAAACACACTCGAATCGGTCTCATTCAGTCAGCCCTTGTGTAAAAATGCAAAGATGACAAATAATTCCTACCAACAGATCCAGAGTTATATCTCCGTCAAACTACAGTGCTATCTATATAAAATGATGTTCCCCCTCATTGTCAGTTTCCAGGCTGACAATGTGTTGACAGTGTGTTAATATACACAGCAAGGAGTGGGTAACATGTTCAAACAAAGCCCCTTTTCCCCTGTGTTATGCCGATAGATCAAATGAAAAGATAGAAGGAGAAGAAGGAGGAAGACGTTGGTTTCAATCAACGTCTGTCTGATGTTTGCGAGAGTTCTGTCTTTCAAGTCTTTGATTTCGCACACAAGATCGCCAGAGTGCAAATAGCAAAACCATGCCGGCATTGAAATAAAGAGAAACACTTCTTCCTATGCCTTGCCTGGTTTTTAAAATGTGACACACAACTTGGCTGCAGCCCCAGCCCCTGTAGCCCCTGGGCAGTGCATATGTCGCCCATTTGTAATCTAGAAAGCACTCAGTTCCAGACTAAGGCCAAGTATGAATGGAGAGAGCACTTACTCGTTTTTCTCGAGAGCCAAGAGCAGCTGTTCACCTTCCGCTTCAATCAGGAGCTTCAGTGATGCAGGGTGACTCTGAGGAGACAATAGTCAGGAGAGGGGATGAGAAATATTCCTTCTGGTTTCAGGACGAGAGCATTTTGATTGAGCAAAGATTGCTAGTAATCTTGTAAGACCAAGTTGTAAGACTTTACCTGATTCAGTCAAACGAGTTTTGACTTTTTAATACAAAGTTGTGCCATTTGTTTTTCCCAATGAAATGAAAAATACATTTTCACAGTTTTAATCCTCTGTTCCCGTGTTTAAAGTGAATTTATCTGCCATTAGCTGCCAAATATACTTCAATAAAGCCTTCTCTGATTATTTTCACATCAACATAACTGTATTTGTTCTTCCTGTAAAATGTTTCCAATGTCTGATTACTTATCCAGCACTCAGGGGGGACGTTTACTCATTTTACAACCAATTTTAAAACCTCTCAAAGCTAACGATCCAATCAAATTCATCCCAACGTTATTTTGTGATTGGCTCCATCCATTTTAAGTTGGAAATATGTCAAAACTTGGCAGTTAGATGCTCTCAAAGTTCAGTTTCATGAGGACTTTAAGCTCCACATCAAACTCCTAAGGAATATCAGCCAACATGTGTTCCATTTTTCACAACACAAACAGGTTTTCAACCATACATTAAAACATCTCCTGCACGTTGTTATGTTAGTGCTCCAAGTTGTTTTTGTATTCTACATAATTTAACTTGAGGCAGGCTTTTAATAAGCTAGTCAGCGAGCTTGTTAGCAAAAGCATGCAGCCAAGCTAGCTCCGCCGCAAACAGACAAATATCTAACTTGAAACAGCCTTACCTGAATTAATACATTTTTCTCAAGTAACTCAGAAAGTGAAACGTCTGCGGATAATTTTCTAATGCTAAAAAGCTTAGTGAACCATAAACACTGAAGGATTCCTAACCCCCAAAACAAGCTGAGCACTGTCAAACAAGCTGGTAGCAGCATTTTTGCTAGCCTGGTGTCTTGCGTCAGATTAAGAAAGGAATCAAATCAAGGCAGAATTTTAAAGTGAAATGTCTTTGTTTTTTCTCATGAATAGGTGAGTTTGTTTGAAAGAGAAGAGTGATAGTTCAGCTAAAGGTGAACCTTTATGAACGTTTAGCATTTTAAGATTTGTTTTTGTTTTTTAATGAAAAGCCTGCTGTGCTCTGTGCTACAAAATCTTTCACAGTCAAAAAAAAAGACAACTCAGGATACTCACAACTGATGATAGGAACTATTGCATGACTTTTTTTGGGGGGGGGAGGGGGCCTCTTATGCATAATTGCAATTGAATAGAATAACGAAAAAGAGGGCGATGTGTGGCCACAAAACAAAAACACATTTCAGTCCTGATGAGAGTGTGACTGAGCCACCCACACTGTGTGAAAACATGCAAGATGACTGTTTTCAATAGATGAGAGCAGTAAGAAATCCTTATGAGGCGTCTTTGAATCTTAGAACAAGAGCTGAGAGGATTAGCTTTATGTTTCTTGCAACAAATGCGGCTGCTCAAACACACACACACACACACACACACACACACACACACACACACACACAACACACCACACACATATTCATCCACATGTCAACACCTAAACCTCCTCTTTTGTGCAGTGCCCCCACTCCAAACAATGACAAAAAAACATCTCACATTCTCCATATCACCGAGCAACCACACACACAAACACATTTTTAACACATGTAGTTCAATGTGGGTCAACTATAGAAAGGAGCGCCACTCTGGGTTAAGTCATCCATCACCCCCTGTGGAGAAGAATGTGTAGCGGATCATAAAAGGACATGGAAGCAGAACACTTTAGGTTTTAGGCAGTATCATTGCACAAGTCATGTGGGATTAAACTTCCTGCTGTTTTTATTCACACAGCGCTCTATATGCATGTTATGACCTCCTTCACTCGGCATAACGTTAATGACAAACAGCCATTTATAACCTAATGGAAAATAAAGATAGTAGGCTACACTGCATGTTTTAGCTTGTAACTTTGAGAGTACTGGATTTAAATAAGCACTTGTTTCACCCACACTGTGAGTATTTTTAACTCTGAGGATCTGTTTTGTTTTGTTTTCCGAGGTAATAATGTCCCAAACAAACCTTGTGGCACCTTCTCTGTTTCGTTATAGGCCTTAACAAATTAATTCACAAATGAATTGACTCAATAACACCACCTGGGGACACAAGCTGTGTTTTTAAGTCTGTTGGCAGCCATGTGTTTGGTGTTATTATCCCAGACTGTTTAACAAAACCAAACAGAGCCAAGGATGCCAGATTTCAAATATTTAATTAACGTTCCAGTGGGCTGTATCATGTTTTCCTCCCCTCCAAGTCGCAGATTCTTCAGCTGTAGCAGCAATCTCTGCCTTTGTTGCAGAGATGTCTGTTGACTTGACTACTGATTCCATAGTCGTGCTAATTTAAAGGCTATACTGAATAGATAAATATAGCAACTACCTCTCAAGGCTTGAGGTAGGGCTGCAGGGGAAATGAGAAAGTCATCTAATTCATAGCTTGTGGTATAGCTACATAGCTTGTGTTGCTTTCTGAGTGTTTTTATAAAAGATGAAAAGTCTTTAATTAGTGGCTAAGGTGAAAGGCAACCCCTATAGGCAACCTATACCAGGAGCTTAAACTTTCCATCTTTCCATTTTAAAGCCACATCTGAAAAACTTTCCCCTGCATGAGAAAAAACAGATTCCTCATTTGACTGAATGAGAGCATGCCAGAAACACAGTGTGAGTGAGAATTCAGATATCACAGGGAAATCAATGCTGAGGCGTCTGGCTGACGTAATCCAGCATGGGTAATGGCAAATGCATTTGGACTTGTAAAGCACTTTTACACTATGTGCCATATTGACAACACATTGACACTGATGACAGCTGTTGCTATGTGAAGTTGTTGCCCGCTTGCCCGCCTATTCCATTCACACACATTTACATGCCTCTAGCTTGGCAGCAGTAGCAATGTGGGGTTCAGTGTCTTGCCCAAAGACACTTCAACATGTGTCTGCATTGTCTTGGGATCAAACCCCCGACCTCGGGCTGAGAGACAACCAGCCGACCCCTACTGCGCATCAGCCCACTGAGCCACAGCCACATGGCAGACGTGTATTTTCCTGGTAGATTCCTTTGTCATGTTAACACCATATTTCTATTTCTGTTATTTGGATGAAAAATAATTACTAAGAGTTATATTATCTCTGGAGTGTTTTGGGTTCGGATAAGCCAAAAATGAAACAGCACCAATGTTGAAATAATTTAAAAGGGGTCCTGGTTCAGCACCAGGTTGGACTCCGACCCTTGGCTCTTTGATGCAAGTTGTCCCCACTCTCTCCCCATATTTCCTAATAAGACAAATTAATCATTTCATCAACTAACTATTATTCACCTGGGGTTTGAGCTGGCTGATTGGTTTCCAGTCTTGTCCAACAAACTGCAGAGGTACTGTGGTCCCATAGTGTTTCTGCTTGGCTGTTGGTCTGTGTTGAACAGTCGGACCCAAAAGATTCCCTGTGAAAGAAAAAATAAATACCATATGAGAATACACAGACAACTTCAAAGCTTTCCTTCTTTATTACAAATTCTCGTAGCATCTGTTAACGCAGACCTTGTCCAGCTCTGTGGAGACAAACAATAGGAATATTTCCTAATAGATATTATACAAACAACACCGGTAATTAATTCCTCCATGCTATTAAAGGCCTGAGCCTGGGGTTCATAAACAGCATCAGGAAAGAGACCCGACAGTGCAGCTGCCTTTTAATACAAAGTGTCACTTAAACAAAATCACAGTATTTGTTTTTGATGGCTCTCTGTGTCTCAGCATACAATTAATGCTATCTGAATGCTTTTGTTTTTCACTACTAACAATTATCTAAGCTGACAAAATGCCATCTCCAACACATCCTCGCTTTTCCTGAACATATGCTCACGCCTCTTCATACGATTGAGCCCGTCTACTCTGCCATTAAGACGTGAATACAACAGCACTAATCAGCACCCTCACACATCAAGGGATGAGAGCCGTTAGCCCACGGTGAAAACGTAAACACCCCTCTGCCACTCCAGCTGCATAAATCTGGTAGGTTCTTCAGGAAAGGAGAGTTTCAAGCGAAGAGAAACTGGTTTTGCTGCTGCTTCTGTGAAAACTCCTGACACAAAATAGTGTTCAGGATAAGAGGCAGGGCTTAGATGTAGCATTGGGTCCTTTTTCCAATGCATGCTTTTTATGTCCTCTCACTCTGCTCTGACAGGGACCGTAAATAAGATGTGGACTTAAGCTCCATGTTCCAAAGTGATACCAATACTTCACGTTTTACACCCCTTAGTCTATCAATCCTTTCTTATGGCCAGCAATGGGGAGACTCCACTGGTTACAAAAATAATCCTGATTGTGTGAGACCACACCAGAAAATCAAATCAGCCTCCTTCTCAGTTTATTTATAACCCCAGTAAACATTTTCTTAATGAGTTTATCATCTCAAATTCTAACTCCAACCCTTTTAAACATACAGCATGATGTTCCAGTTGTAAATACTAGTCCCATTTTGAGTTGACTTTGAACCAGTATGTGCTCTGCTTTTTCTGATATGCAATTACTATGGAAACCTGTCAACCAGTAAGGAGACATTGTGTGTCGCTGGACTGCAATCATTTCTAATATTATCAAAGAGATGTCGAAGTGCAACTGTGAGAAACAAGAGGACTTTGCTACCAGTGATCCCTGCAGTAATCAGCACTGCCCAGCGGGGAATGCTTTATCAGAGCCGGGGTCTTTCACTGAAGCAGCAGGGGTTGCTGGAATCATTAGTTAGTGCAAACATCCTAAATCAAATGTTTGTCTGTTTTTTGTTTTCTTCCACTGATGCTCCACCGAGCGTTTCCAAACAGCGGGGAAACAGATTTAGCTCAAAGATGATGTCAGCGGACTTGTGAGGAATGATGCGTGTGGTCTTGAGAATAATTTATGGTTTGTTTTGAACATGGAAATTTGTTACTTCTTAATTCTGAATCCAATTTTAAACAAATATGGACACAAAGCATTCTCGAGGGGAAGCACTCGTCACAGGTCATTATTATCACCAGCACATTCAGGGCTCTTCCAGCTCTTTCTTTCTCTCTACGCATGACTCACCCAGCTGAGTCTGCTTTTTATCCGGCTTTAATAACCCACACCAGGCCATGTCCTCCCCAGCTGAGCTTTTGTTCTGGTTCTCCTCTGAGGAAAACCACCTCCTCTGGAGTCCATCATAGAGCCGCTCCAGCTGATAGTGGAGAGCCAGAGGTGACCAGCTCAGCAGTCCTCATCCAGCAAACCACCCTGATGATGAGAAGCAGGCTCCAGCAAGGACGGGAGAGACTCACACACACACACAACAGCAGGGAGAGGCATCTTACCCTCATTAGCCCTCGAAAACCACACTGTCTGGGGAGGAGAGGTGGGCACGCTGAGTAAGGCAGCATGGTGACCTCTATGAAAAGTGCGGATGGATACCAAAACAACATGGGGAGGGGAAAAAACTGGGAAATTCTGAGAGAGAAAAGGTCAAATTCCAAATTATGGTTAGCCAACTTATGAGGCTAGCACACACAGATGGAACTGCCATTCACATCAACTTTGAAGACATGGTTGGTAACTATACGGTTCTTTTTTTTCCCCCTTGACTTCAAAGTCAACAATTGAATAACCATTTTTTAATGTGGTGTGCAATGAGCTTTAATTCCCGCATATAAATGGCAATATATTAGTGGAAACAGTCTGCAGGCTTGGGAAAGACATTTTGGTAAAGTTGGAGCGTGCTGTGGCTCCTATGTGTAGAGTGTGTAAGCTTTTGTTAGCTAGAGTGTTATAAGAGCCACCAGAAGCATTGAGGGAGCGGTAAAAAGTGGCACCAGAACCCTGAGCCTTATTTATATGTTCAATAAAGGAGAGTGTAAACAGAGGTCTTAATAAAGCAGAGTTCTGGCCGCGATCGGCTCCCTTTATGCTCCGGTGTACACAAGGAGAGTTTGTGCCATTTATACGGCCTCAATAAAGTCAGTGCTAGGTTGGAGGATTGTATGAGTGTGTGTGTGCGCAGAAACATGACTGTGTGTGTTTGCTCGTGTGCGGGAGAAATGTGATACAGACCAATGTCTGAATAAGGTGATAAAATTTGCACTCCCTAGTGGTGTTGTTAAGAAAGAACAACAAGTTCTATTATGTACAGCCTTTGTGTTGTTGTTTTACACATTGTGGTCATCACACTTATCCCTGATTATGCGTTTCAGACATAAAACATTGCAGGTAAAAGCATCTTACCTGAATCAAATTGAAATGTTTTTGTTTTATACAAGGGGGGTTTTTATACCTTAAGGGTTCTCCATCTGCAGATTGGGATCACCAATAAACCCGCGTGGTTGCAACATTGTAATTTCAGGAAACGTTTTTCTAAGGAATTAGAAGGTCTCTTTTACTAGCATCAAGTCTTATTAGATACAGCATGTTGATTTTCCAAATAATGGTCAATATCGTAAAATCCACAGTATCCATGGTATTCTTTAGGGCAATGCAATTATTTACAGGTCACTCCAATGGCGACCTATAAACTGGGATACAGACATGGCAGCATGCATCCACCATCTCGTCCAAATATGGTCACTTCAGGCTCCAAGAAACCAATATGGTGCAGCTGAACGGCCAACTTTAAGACAGTGGGGGTTCACAAATCATGTGGGTGTAATCCATTGATTTGTATAATGTAGGTGGATGTTAGTCTAAGTGACATCACCCACTGGTTTCTGAAGAGGCCTTTCAAACCCAACAATGGTGATTACCACTTTGGAACTGTATCACAACCTAACTTTTGTTCAGACAAGAAAAAAGACGAAGAGGTAGAGCTTGGGCGGGCCTTAAACCTCCTGTTAGACAGTTACAAAGTGCCCACCTGTAAGTCAAATAACCACATTGCTAAGTATGCACATTTATGAATTAAATTAAGTAACATGTTTATTCTTTCCGTAACAATTGACATTTTAACTTCAGCCAGCCTCAAGTGAGGAACTGCAGTTTTTTGCAGTTTCACATTGGTTTCATTTTTCAACACTGGATGTTGGCGCTTGGTGTTATGTCAGCTATACATATTTATTTTCAACAGTCAAACAGTTATAAAGGGTCCCAGACCAGGTTAAGACACTGAAGTGTGGTTCTCTTTATGCTTTGTGTCACCTAGGGTTACTTTTTTTCCCATCACCACAGATTTGGATTACAAATCAAAAGTCATTCTCCCATGTTTCATTACAGCAACATTTAAAGAAGCAGAATATTTTTCTATATACAGATATTTTCTCGCTTTCTCTGGCTAATGTGTTCAATCACCTTTTAGAAGAGACCAATCCCTGGGGTTAGGATATTGCTGTAGATATTCACAGACTTCACTAATCTGTTGAAATGTAAGCCAAGAGGTGCCTTTGGGGGGTACGTTTGGTCTGCTTATTAAGGACTTTGAACAACCTTGGTGCAATATTTGATCCTACAGAACTTCAGTCACTACATTTCATTCAGGTTCCAACCCAAAAACGTCATGTTTTCTTCATGGGCAAGTGAAATCAGTCATTTCAGGCATTTGACAGAGAATCATTTTGTTTAAATCAGCCCCTCTGATCCCCAATCTGTAAACTGCAAGTCTGAGAGAACATGACCTTCTTCGATTCTATGCACATCCCAAGACGTCCTCTCTTACTGCCCTTCCACACCTCCAGCCCTTCTGCTCTCTCTCCCCCCCCCCCCCCTCACTTCTGCTCCCCAAAAACAACCCAACAACTGTTCAGCTTTATTAAACCCCAGAGCCTGCTTTCTTGCAACTCGCTCCTCGACAGGCAACCATGAAATAATGTATTCATAACAATCTTTGCTTTTCCAACACAAATAGCGTGCTGTTCCTTTCATCTGCACACTCAATGAGGTCGTGCCCCCCCCCCCCCCCAGACATGTGGGAAGGTCCTCTGAGATGGGATACAACCTACACATGCATGCACACATCAGTGTAATCACAGTCACCCTTGCCCAAAGCACACAATGACACACTCTTGTCACTTTTCACCATTCTAAAAAAATATGGCAGATTGAAAATGACAAACGTCTTAAGCGGCTTGGATGAGATTCTTTGACATGCAAATTCCCACGAATGGTACAAAAACAAGCTAGAGCAAACACTTGAGATGATTCCAGCATTGTTTGACTTGAATGGACAATGTTTAGTTACTCAAACCTCTAGACGGAAATGGGATGGAAATGAGAGCATGTGGGTTTAATTAGGGCAGGGAGTTATGACTTTAAATTGGTCTGTTTTGAGCAGAACCATGACTCAACAAATAAGGTTTAAGAAAAATAAATATACATCTCTTCCCTGGTTCCACATGAAGGTATGTTCTCAATATAGCAAATCTAATAAAGTGATCGTTGAATCAAGAGCATGTATCCATGACTGTTTTTATCCAGATTTGGTGGATGTCTTTAATCAGAGCACTGG